AGAGGTGATGAGAAAAAGAAGACGACACTTCTCCTTAGCACTATAATGCCAGTTTGTTTTCTCCTAAATGTTATTTCTACTATTGTAGAACCTGATGTCAGGTGAATCACAATGTATGACCTTGTCTGCTTTGGCTAGCTCATCCTAGTTCTCCAAACCTAGCTAACAGCTCAACATACATACACAACATACATGTACACACATAGCATGCATACAGCAGGTATACACACACACACACAAACACACACGACTCTGCATATGCATATGCTGAGTTTTTTTTCTGCAGACAGTTTGAAAGCAAGGGACACTTTGCCCGTAATCATCACTAAACACTTTAGCATAAATCTCTTCAGAACAAGGACTTTCAGCTGGGTACTAGTGGCTCAAGCTTAGCTACTCAGGAGACAGAGATCAAGAGGATCATGGATTGAAGCCAGCCCAAGCAAATAGTTTGTGAAACTCTATCTTGAAAATAGTCAACACAAAAAAGGGCTGGTGGAATGGCTTACATGGAAGAGTACCTGCCTGGCAAGTGTTGAAGCCCTGAGTTCAAACCTGAGTACTGCCAAAAATAAATAAACAAAAAGAACAAGGACTTTCTCTTATATAACCACAATAAATCTTCACACCAAATAAAATTTAACATTGATATAACAATATTTTATGTACCAGTTATTTATGTAACAAACCATACCAGACTCTTGTGGCTTAAAATGTCAATGATATGTTTTGTCATGTGATTCTGTGAAATGATTGAGTGGTTCTTTGTCTTGGCTGGGCTCACTTGTGCTACTGCATTGAACTGGTTGGAGGACTACAGTTGGGATCAGCTGGATTTTGAAGGATTCCTTTCCATCTTGAATTTCAGCTCTTTGATTTTGATTCCTGCTGTAATAATCTTACTCTTCTAAAGCCTTTTGGGAGTATTTAATCATAGTTTATGCTAACTATTCATGTGTGTTATATTTTAGGAATATCATAATGCACGAAGGCAGCTGGGGTATATCTCATACACGTGTGCCAACAGAATCTCGGCCAGGTCACGTAGCCTTGATAGCAGGATTTTATGAAGATGTCAGCGCAGTTGCCAAAGGTATTGTCTATCAGACATGTTTACTAAATGAAGCACTCAGCATGTAAATATTCCTTCTTTACTACTGAATCACTCATAAGATGAAAAACATATTTTGAGATCCTTTTTACAAGTGTTTTGGCATGCCTTGCTCACATGAACACATACTGGTATTGATCTTGGAGTTAAGCTTTAGTCTTTCATTATCCTGTGCTAATCAAAGAGACTGGTAGGATAGATATTGCACTCAAAAATTTAAAATTTATTTCAGATTTTAGTAAGAAGTGAATTTTATATTGTTACTTTTTAAAAATACTGATAAAGTATTCATAGCATAAAATCTATCATTAGTCTTGTATTTTTTCTCCAATTAACATCATTTTTGAAGAATACTTCTTTTAAGACTTATTTTGCCATGTATTTATTATTATTGTTATTAGTTGCTTTTTTTTCTCCATTACCTGAAGGATGGAAAGAAAATCCTGTAGAATTTGATTCTCTTTTTAATGAAAGCAAGTATACATGGAGCTGGGGAAGCCCAGATATCTTGCCTATGTTTGCCAAAGGTAAGAGTCATTGATTATATTCCTTATGTAGCAATATGCTAATATATTACTATATTGATTTTGAGACAGATATTTTCATCTTTTTAGGAACTCTGAAATATGTATGTATATACATGCCAGTTTAATTGACAGTGTTTTTTGTTTCTTAAATGATATAATTCATGTAACACATTTCAGCAAGTTTTTAAGCACATAGCTTCATTGTGATGATAATGTTAATGTCTGATTCATTATACTTTGATAAATTGTTGAAGAAGCTAGTAAATATTCACATAAAGATTTAAATGTTAAAACTTAAAATTCCTATTTTACTATGTTTACTATGCCCTATATTTTGACATTTGATATTTTGGCATTAGCGGTGTTTAGTATATTGAAATGCCATTATATTCTATTTACTATAATGAATATGACACTTAAATTTGTTGATATTATATGCATAAATCTGCAAGTATTAGGGCATTTTTTGATGAGAAAATTCATTTTCATAATTTTAAAACATCAGTTGGATGAATTTCCTGTCATTAAATGCTTTTTATGGGAACAAAGTGATTGGCCATTTCACTCAATGGAAAGATTTTGTAACAATATACTTAGCTATGGATATAATCAGAATAATTGGAACTATTAAAGATTATTATGTGTCCAGAAAACAAAATATATACATTCAGAACATTATTTTACTGGCAGGCCTAAAAATCTCAAACTGCTTGACATTTATGTATTTCCTTCTTTGGGAGGCAGTTAAGCTTTTCAGGGGGCTGGTGGTGGTTAAGTTGCTGTGGCTTACTGTGTTAATCTTCCTACTTCTGCCTATAAACACACCTATATAATTGACCTATATTCTGTCTATAACACGGCCAATGCCTGAATCAGACACCATCTAATAGGAATTTTCCATCTCATATGGTAACCATAACCTGCTCAGATCTCTTTATTTGGGATGTGGGAAGTAAAATAGCTGAGTAGAGGAATAAGGTCATTAGAGCCAAACCAACATTAAGAGATTGTCATTACTTAGGTTTATCTCTTCCCATAACCTGCAAGAGCTTATCTAACTCAAAAATTTGGTTCTTAATAAAATCTTGCAAATCTACAACACTAATATATTTTTTTATCTTCTTTAAACTGTTTAGCAATAAGCAGTATTTATTCCCTTATATTGAAAAAAATACACAGTCTGTAAAACAAGTGAAATAATTGAATTTTGTTCTTGCTTTAAAAAGGTTTGTATGCTATTGTATGATAGCCAATAATATAGGTTAAAATAGGTTAAAAAAAAGGTTTATATACCAGATATCTTCATCTGTTTTAGGTTGTGACATCTTAAAGGGCACAGATATTTTTGAATAGTTAAATTCTTAAAGGGAGACTAACTTTGGTGCTTATTTTTATTTATATTGCATACTAGAATTTTGACTTTGACAAATAAGTTAACTTGCATGAAATGTACCTACAAAATTAGGATATGTTATTATGATGGGGAAAAACTCCAGGGTGTTAAAAGTACATTGCATGGAGTGGCTCAAATAGTAGAGCACCTGCCTAGCAAGCGTGAGGCTCTGAGTTCATACTCCATTGCCAATAAAATAAAATAAATAAAAACCTTAATCCTGAGTTGTACTACAGAATGAATGCTGGGCACTGGTGGCTCATGCTTGTAATCCTAGGTGCTTGGGATTGGAGGATCGCAGTTTGAGGCCAGACTAGGCAAATGGAATACCACCCTCCCCCGCAATCTCCAAAATAACCAGAACAAAATGGACTAGAGATGTGGCTCCAGTGGTGGAGCATCAACTTTACAAGTGCAAAGCCCTGAATTCAAACCCAAGCCCCACCAAAAAAATAAATAAGTACATAGGATAGTTCATGGCACATAAAACAAATGTGTTAATTATTCTACCAATCTTTCTTTTCCCTGTCATAAAATAAAGTGCTGTATAAAAATCTGATTACTTATTTAAAAAAAAAAATGAAGCCAGGTGTGGTTGTGTATATCTATAATTCCAGAACTGAAAAGCTGAGGCAGGAGGATCACTTGGGCCCAAGAGTTCAAGAGCAGCCTGGACAACATTGTAAGACTATCTAAACAAACAAACAAAAATTTTAAATGGTTATTTCATGTTTGTTATATAGTTCAAAGAGTTCTTTCAAAATTTATGCTTCCCAAATTTCCTTTTCAGGTGCTAGTGGAGACCATGTTTATACGTACAGTTATGATGCTAAAAGAGAGGATTTTGGTACCCACGATGCAACAAAACTGGATACCTGGGTTTTTGATAATGTTAAGGTGAGTGTTTATCTACAAAACACGCATTTACCTCAAGTACTGGAAACTGATTGGTTAGTAAATGTGTATTAGGGTTTTTTTCTGTCTGTATAAACTTAAAAGTTCTATGTTGTAGCACACTGTTTTTAAGACTTAATTTTAAGAAATCATGCATTCTACAATTACTGATTAATAAAAGTTTGAGAAAATAATTTTAAAAAGATAACCTTTAAAACTCTGTGTTTCCAAAGGTACAATAACCCTACTTTGGTTAATCATTGTACGTAAATCTTGATCTTTTGTTGATCTTAGAACTTTTCTCTTGTGGTAGAACATGTGAGATGTGGAAACACATTTGGGAAAATGCTGCTCAAATGTAATATATTTATAATAACAAAATAGATGATGGTTTAAAAATTATATTTTAAAGCAAATTAGGTAAGTAAAAACAGGTTAGCAAGTTAGTCATTATTAAATATCTGAGTTTCTTTAAGTAGTAGAGTTTAAAAAGCTATTTGATGGTGTGGTAATTGTCATCGTTTCACCAATATACACTAGAATTTATATTCTGAAAAACTATGTGATGAGAGGTGAATATGATCAAAGTTTATTATATACATATATGAAAGTGTCATAGTGCAAACTCATTATTTTGTATAATTAATATATGAAAAAAATCTGAATTGTGGATGTTGGCGCTCTCCTTCCTCCCAGTCCATTATTCCTTAAGTCCAAATAACAGTTTATAATGCATCCATTGTGAGAAAGTATTTGGTTGACCTTAATTGACACTTCTTTTTAAAATAGTAGTGCCTTTTCTCTATTATATAGTCTTTTATTTATTTATTTATTTATTTATTGTGGTACTGGGGCTTGAACTCAGGACCTTCACCTTGAACCACTCCACCAGCCCTATTTTTGTGAAGGGTTTTTTGAGATAGTGGAATAATTTGCCCAAGGTGGCTTCGAACCGCCATCCTTCTGAGTCGCTAGGATTACAGGCATGAGCCACCAGTGCCCAGCTATATAGTCATTTTTCAAGTTTGTTTGTAAACATACTCCTCAATATGTGTCTATATTTTTCTTTGCATTTGCTTAGTAGAAATTAAGTGCTTAATAACTTCTTTGCTAAACCCCATTACTTTTATCAGGGCTCTTTCCCCTTCTTTTTTGTTTCATAACATATACTTTTGTCAATGGGAAAACTTCCAAGTTAAATGAAATCTCCTGAGGAAAACAGTTAGCAAATTATTTTACTAATCACTTGCTAATGTAATCTACTTCTATCAACATATGCTTGAAAGCCTTTGGCTTCTAATTTCTGTGGGTGGTTAAAACTGCTACCAGATCATGGATTTGATTCCTTATGGATGGCAGGTGTAGTTGGTGATTGGCCAGATGGTCATGCCTTTTCTCCTGTCTTTATTTTGACACTGTTAGTATCGGTGAGAGAATAGTGAACAGAAAAAAGGATTTTCCTGTGACTTCTTCATAAAGTTTGGTAGAGATGTATATTTGCCAAGCAATAGCATCAATATGAAATCATCAACGGTGATAAGTGGTGAGAAGGAAAGATAGACTAAGAATATATTGTTAGAAAATTGTGATCTAGACTGGGCAGTTATCAGAAGGCTTTCCTGGAGTTTTGAGATGATCTTTGAAGACCTAAATGAAGCACAGAAATAGATGGGGAGGATTGGTGTGGAATAGAGGATTTCAGGCCAGTAGCATTGTATAAGTTTTGAGCCCTAAGGCCAGAGGCAACATAATAAATTTTAGGAACCAAAAGAAGGGAGGCCAATGTGGCAGGATCACTGACTGGGAGAGAGGTCTCAGATGAGGCTAGAGAGGGAATTGGAGGTCTTATCTGGACTTGGTTCCTTGGTCAGAAACTCAGGCTTAATTTAAGTTAAATTGTTTCCAAATCCATGAAAATTTCTGCTCACTAGTGTTTGGAAATTGTGATAAAAATGCATATAACATACATTTCACCATCTTAACCATTTTAAATGTATGGTTCAGTAGTGTTAAGTATACTGACATTATTGTGCAAACAATCTCCAGAACTTTTTCATCTTGCAAAACTGAGATGCTATACCCTCTAAATTATAACTCCCTCTTTCCTCACTCTCCCAGTCCCTGGCAATCACCATTCTACTTTCCTTTACTGTGCATTATGATAGGACAACTCTAGATATCTCATGTCCTAATAAGTGGAATCATATAGTATTTGTCTTGTGACCAGCTCTTTTCACTGACCATGTTCTCAAAGGTTCATCCATGTTGAATCTAGACACTTTTTAAAATTATCATATTATTGTTGTACTGGGGGTACATTGTGACATCTATAAAAGTTCTTACACTATATCATAGTTAAATTCATCCCCTTCCATCATTCTTCTTTATCCTACCTCCCTTCCCCCATTCTTGGAATAGTTTCAACAGGTCTCATTTATATGAGTACATGATATTTCTACAATATTTACCCTCGTACACCCTTTCCTTATATCCTTCCCCCTTCCACTGTTACCAACCCCTCAGACAGGACCCATTTAACCTTCCTGTCACTCATTTTTTGAAAAAGATATTTTTGTTTAAGATCGCTATACAGGGAGTTTTATTGTGACATTTCCATGTTAGACACTTTTTAATACTCAGTTCATCCCTGCCCCCAGTTTGACTTAGATAACCTTCTTCTATATTCCCTTACTACTTCTATTTTAGTACTTTATTATGTCTTACTGTGACTGTTGGTACATTAACCCATTTCCCTTCAATCATGTACACATCTTATTGGCAGAGACACTGACCTTTTCACATTGTTAACTCTAAACTTGTATCAAGGAATTGTTTGATACATAGATACATGTATTACCTTAGATTAGGTTCAGCCCTGTGTTGCAGAAAAAATACATATGAGTTTACTTCTGTCTCAGTAAAGGTAATGCCAGAAATAGGCATTGCAGTCCAGGATGCTGAACAGTGTCTTTAGGATCTAGTCTCTTAAAGTTCTCTGTCCTCTGGTGTGAGTTTTATCTTTAGGTCATCTCATGATCTGAGATAATGCTAGAGCTTCAATCATTACTTCAGTGTTTTAGGCCAACAGTATGATGAATCTGCATGACCTTCTCTCCTATTGTGTTATATCTATTTAAAATACCCTAAGGTTGCGTAGCTTTTTGATTGAAATATTTGACTTAAATTTCCCTGGCCACAACCACAAATGAGTATTTAGCTGTAAGAAAAGATAAGAAGTATGTAAATTTCAAGTTTGAACATTAATATGCCCCATAAGATCAAAGGTTTTTACTCAAGGAGAAGGAAAACAGTGTACATTGGACTAATCAACAAGTACTCTTCCATAATGCATAATAAATTTTGGAGAGGTTACAAAAATAAATTAGGCCCAGCATGGTGGTATATGCCTGAATTCCCAGATACTTAGGAAGTGGAGATTAGGAAGATTGTGGTTCAAGGTCAGCCCAGGCAAAAAGTTACTGAGACTCCATCTTAACCAACAAACCAGACACAGTGGTGGTCTCTAAATTAAAGCTATGCGGGAGGCATAGGTAGGAGGATCGTGGTTTGAGGAGGTCCTGGGCAAAAGCATGAGATCCTCTCCAAAAAATAACTAAAGCTAAAAGGGCTAGGGGACAATTTTATACTTTCAAGGAAGATGGTAGTAGGTTATGTGTATTTTAAATTTATTTCTATCCTTGAATAGCTAGTTTCTCTAATGATAGCATTTACATTTTTATCACTTAGAATAATGAAGAATTGTTATTATTTTGCCTAAATGTTTGAGAAACTTTATAATGTTTTAAATAATTAAATGCTTTAGACTTTTGTTGAAAAGTTAAGCATGTTTTGTTAAAAGTTAACATCTTTTGTGGTTGGAGACATTTATATGAACAATGACATCTTTGCATAGCTGTTGACTTACTTAACATATTAAAGTACTTTCCCTAGGTGGTTGCTCACATGTGTATGTGAGTATAGAGTGAATCATTTGTCTTAAATGGGCTTATGAATCCAATTTATCATAATTTAACTTTTAAATTGTGTTTCATTAAGTAGATCTTTCTTTATCACACAATGTGAAGAACAGATTCTGGTCATAGCAAAGGAAGGAGATAGGAGGCTATTTACAGTGTTCTGTATGAAAGATTATGGTGCATAATGGGCAGAAGAATAAAAATGGGCTAGCTCTGAGTGTGCTTAAAAATGATAAATTGTCTTAAACTGTTAGTGCCATTACTATCTTATATTTGATTCTTACCAAAACATTTCTTCAATTGGCTTTTATTAAAGTTGACATATGGTAATGATGCTATAAGAGCTTCATTAAATTAAATTCTCCATTCTATAACTTCTTTGACCTAATAATAGCATAGAAAATAACTCACTCATTATTTGAACATAGATGTCTGAACTAGTAACAAAGACTTTCTCTTGGTAGGTTTTAAGCACAAAATGAAATAAGACAACTTAACTTTGTAGTTCTGCATACATTTAATTAATTTTTAACTAAAATAAATGAACTAATTTTTAACTGATTTGTTACATATAGGACTTCTTTCATGCTGCCAGAAAGAACCAGTCTTTATTTTCTAAAGTAAATGAAGAAAAAATAGTTTTTTTCTTACATTTATTAGGAATAGATACAAATGGACACGCTCATCGACCGTCATCGAGGTAATTTTAATGCTGAGTTAAATTTGATTTTTTTTAAGGGAAAACAACTATTCTGTTTGAACTTTTAACATTGTGGGGTTTCTTTTGTGTTTTGTAATTTTAACAACAGAACCAATACTTTAGCTACTATAATGTACAATTAGTTCTCAGTTATATGAGAGATAGTATAAGAGTAGCTGAAATTACATGTGCTGTAGCCATACTGCACATTAAAGTAAGTGAAATTGGGCCGGTGGAATGGCTCAAGTGGTAGAGTGCCTGTCTAGCAAGTGTGAGGCCCTGAGTTCAAGTTCCAGTGCTACCAAAAAAAAGTGAAATAGATTTTGAACATAAATTCCAAATTCATTTATCAAGGCAGAGAAAAATATTTTATCTAAAAATCTATATATTTTAGAAAATGTTTCAGTGAATCTTGAAACAAAAGATCACTTTTACAGTATTAATTTTCACATCACAAAAAAGAAGTAATTCCTTAGGTGTTCCATTTATCAGTATTGTATCTAGTAACTATAGAATATAAAGTACACTATTATTTCTATAGCACTCTTTACACATAGCAGCAAATAGTCTCACTTTTGCAGACTGTAACACAGAGGAAAAAATGCCATATACTTTTAATTTTTATTTGAAATTTGTTTTACATTAGCTTACTATAAAGTATACTGGTTTAACTGTCAGTAATAAATACCTCATGTTACTCTTGTTTAGCATGATGTACTATTTTAATTGATGGGATATATTCATATCAAACAATCTTTGTTCAACTTAATCTTAAGTACAATTTGAAATATATTATTATATTTGAAATAATGATGCTTCCTTTAAGGTGGCCAGAACATTATATTTTATGTTTTGATAGACATGAACCTGAGTCTTCATTATCTCATTTAGGACTTAAAATAAGAGTTCCTTACAATATATTTGCTAACCAATCCTCTTAAACTGTCTCTGAAATCTGTTCCATGTTCTTTTGATTCATTGAAGGAGAAAAAAATATTTTCAATAATCTAAAGAGCTCTGATTATTAAAGATTAAAGCATTTTTTCAGTTTCTTATTTTGAATATAATGAGTCTATGCTGAATAAATTTGATTTCTCGAAGTCAATTTGCTGTTCTGTTTCTTTTTAAACAGGGAATATAAAGACAATATTAAAAAAGTTGATGATGGAGTGAAAGAAATTGTGTCTGTATTTAAACAGTTTTATGGAAATGATGGGAAAACAGCGTTTATCTTTACCTCTGACCATGGAATGACAGATTGGGGTGAGTCTGTCTTTAAGTGTTATCTATCTTACAATGAAAGTCATGCTAAAAGTAGCTTGCAAATATAATGTGAGAGAATTAGATGTCTTATTACGTGCAAAGCATCTAATACATAATAATTGTATGCTTAAAATATTAGTGTAGGGCTGGCGGAGTGGCTCAAATTGTAAGAGCGCCTGCCTAGCAAGCATGAAGCCTTGAGTTCAAATCCAAGTGCTGCCAAAAAAAAAGTTAGTGTAAATAAAAACTGATTTCATATAAAGGACCGTTTTCTAATTATAAAAAAAGTATTGTCGATTGCAAAGGAGAGAGTAGAAAAAATTGTGGAAAGAAAATAAAAAGTACTTGTTATTTATCTGTCTGGAGTTCACTGTATAAAAGTGAATGTAGGTAAATCAGTATCACTGAGGGATTGGGGACTGCTGGAGTTCTATCCTATATAAACCTGTACTTCTTGTGAGATTCCCAATGCAAATATAGTTTGTACTGAGAGACAATTTAATGCAAAGATAAAGTTTGGGCCCCCAAATCTCAAGATGGTATTCTAATGGGCTGGGTTCTACTTTATGAAGGACTTACTTTAGCTATACCAGACAGAGTGGCTTGGAAGATAATGGTCCATATGCTTTGCTGTCATCTGCAGAGGCCTTGGAGCACCACTTGTCAAGCTGGGGAGAGGGGGGTTGTTACTCCTCAGAAGAATTCTCCCTATTCTTTCTGTCTTCTGTGCTAGTCTGAAAGCATCTCTTCCATCACTTACTATTTTTATTCTTTCAACTATCAGTTGGCAGACATTTTGGGGTTTTTTTGTTTGTTTGTTTTTTTAGCTTTTGCCTGTTGTTGATGTTCTTGATTTGTGTAATGGAACTGTTTTCAAAATAATTGTTATAAAAAGACATAAGCATTTGGTGGCTAGAGTCACCTCTATATGGGTAACTCTTTAAAGCAAACTTTTAAAATTATTTGTGGGGAGGAAGAATAAAGGAGAAGGATGGAGGGGGTGAATTCAACTATGATATATTGTAAGAACTTTTGTAAATGTTACAGTGTACCCTCAGCACAATAATACTATAATTAAAAAAAAGAAAAGTTATTTAACCTTAAGTTAGTTATTAACTTTTTTTTGGTGGGAGTGGGGCTAGGGATTGAATCCAGTCTTGTACATGCTAAGCAGGCAGGCACTCTACCACTGAGCTGCATCCCCAGTCCAATAAGTTAGTTGTTACATACTTGTCTGATGACTCCTGGTATCTTATGTATAGGTTCCCATGGCGCTGGTCATCCTTCAGAGACTTTGACTCCTCTAGTCACTTGGGGAGCTGGAATCAAGTATCCCGAAATAGTATCAGCTCAGCAATTTGATGATAACTTTTTGAAAGGTATGTATTTTTGTCTTTATTAGTTTTGAAGTTACGTTTTAACATAAAACCAAAATAAATTAGAAAATTAATTAATTTTTTAAAAAATGACTTTCCAAATTATAGTTTTAAATCGTTCATTTTAATATTTGTGTCATTACTGTTTGTATGCAAATGCTACAGATAAAGGGGTTGGTTAAACTTGCTTTTTCTCTTCTTGTAGAACCATTTGTTAAACATTTCCCAACATACCTCTGCTAATAGCCATTTATTTAGACCTTTGTAAATTTCTTATAGACTGAGTTTTTATCAGATTATTTAACTAATCTGAATATGAGGTACATTAAGTAAAGATGAAATGAATAAGAGAATTAGAGAACTCATAATTATGAATTAGAGGGAAATTATAAATTTGATTGCAATTTTCCAACCCAAACGAAAAACATACTCCCAGTTATAAAATCATAGCATCTAAAAGATATAGCCTTTAGGAAGGAAATGTATATGTGTTACAAAGGTGTTTCTCCCCTGGACCCTGATACGAACCTAAGGGCACAGTGAGCAATACATTCAGCAATATGTCTTCAGTAAGTAATGTTGCATTTTTCAGAGTGCTATTTCTTACCCATTTGTTAGTGCTGGTGGAGAACATGAGGCATTTGGCAAAGGGCTAGAATAAAGCAGCCTGCACATTGTTGTGATGTTTCCATGTTTATGCATAGGTGAAAAGAATCTAGAAGACTCTTTTTTTGATCTACTATATACCTTTGGAATAGTGCTTACTTTTGCAGAACTTAATACGCTGGTAGAAGACTTAAAGCAAGTAGAAACCAAAGCTATAGACTATGATAATTGCTATGAAGGGAGCCCAGGTACAACTGGGCTCCTGAAAATTTTATTAAGATATTTAGTAAAGTAGATAAAATTCATTAATCATAAATGGATATGTAGCTTGCTGAATTGTAGATATCACATGAAATCACCACCCAGATTCACATATACAATATTCTGTGGTACTGGGGTTTGAAAAGATTCACATATACAACATTTGCGTGCTCCGGAGTTTTCCTTAAAGTATGATACTTTTTGAAGACTGAACTAATAGGTTTGTTTACAGTGAGGATAAGAGAGAGCCATTCTTGTGAACATAATCACGAGAGTGTTCCAAGTAGAGCGAAATAGCAAATGCAAAAATGTAGAATGGAAAGGGCCTAGTTTGTTTGAAGAACAGAGGGTGATGTTGCTTGAGCACTGCCAGCTAGGAGGAGAGTACAGTGAGTTGAGATGTTGGAGATGTAAGGAACAGGTAGATAATTCCAGACACTAAAGGCCCTGCTAAGGAACATGAAGTGAGTTCTAAAGGGTGTATAATAGAGCACTGCCAAAACTGTAGTGTGCTAAAGGAGCTGGTTGTGTGGCTGTACTGTGATCAGTGGGTTAGCTTGGGTCTATGTAGATGTTAGGGCAAATGGTGTGTTTGTAATTAGGAGATTTAACTTTTTTTAGCACTTGATTGATTTCTTGGTGAATTGATGTTTTAGAATCACATGACTTCATAAATCATCATAGAAAGAATGTATTTTTTTCTCTTGAATATGAAATAGAAATTACAGGAAAGAAGATACGTGTTTTTGCTCTTTGGATGATCATTATAAATTCTTGATAGCTGATTAGTAGAAGCTAGAAAATATTTTTTCAATTATTGACTTAATATAGAGAAAATTTCATCATAAAAGTATCTTAGAACCCTTTTGGTAGTGTATCCCAAAGCCATGAAATCAGACATGGTCTCTCATAGTCATTTGATTACTGTTTATTACTTGTTCTGATTACTGTCTATTGGAATTTCTGAATTTGTGTATAGAGAGGGAGGAAAATGAGTCTATCCTTAAAGACAGTTTTAATAGTAGCTCAGTATACTATTTTAAACATTTGGAGTTAGTAATCAGAGGAACATAAAAGCTACAATATTAACTATTTTACAAGGAACTGCCAACATAGAAAAAGAGAAGCTTTGACTACTGTGCTGTCACTTGCTTTAATAATCTGAAACAGGATTATGATGAGCAGTAGTCAGTGGTCATGTTGGCAGTTGTTATCACTAGGCCCTGTCGGTTCCTTCTTTTCTTCCTTGTTTTGAAACACTCATTTTCAAATAAACATTAAACTTCATAAATCACAGAAAACACTAAATGTTTACTTTCTGGTTATTTTTTCTAAAATTCTTTACAAAATATACCTCTGCCTTTTAAATCACCCTTTTTATTTACACTAGGCTTAAAAGAGAGAGATGTTGCTAATAATTATTTTCCATGAATTATTGAACACTCATCAAAACCAAATGATTTGTTATTTTTAAAATCTTAAGATCAGATCTGTGTCTTTCAGAGTGGAGATTGGAGAACTGGAAGAGGCGTGATGTCAATCAGGTATCCATTTCAGTTTAGTCATATTCAAATTTAATTTTATCTCCTATAAAAAAGTTTAACCTGGCACCGGTGGCTCACACCTATGATCCTGGTTACTTAGGAGGCAGAGATCAGGAGGATCGTGTTTCAAAGCCAGTCTCAGATAAATGGTTTGCTGCAAGACCCTATCTCGAAAAAAAAAACCATCACCAAAAAGCGTTGGTGGAGTTGCTCCAAGGTATAGGCCCTGAGTTTAAAACCCAGTACCAAAACCAAAAAAGTTTAGACAAGTACAGCTATATTAATAATAATAGTGACAAAAGATTTTGGAAATATTTCAATTGCTAAGGAGACTACTTTTAGTCAGATGTTTTAGCTTAACCTCTCCTGTGGCAATTTTTTTTAAAAAATCAAATGAAAATAAAAGAAGACTCCCTCCAAATAATGCTGGATAATTGTATGTAAATTGAAATTTGGAAGCTTGTTAAATTTCTGTCATGGTTGCATTGCTTACTTTAAGCACGGATCTAATAAAACTTCTGTTATGGGTTTCTTTCCTATATTATGTTAGCTACTGTTTCTTTTGTATTAATGTATATTTACCTGTAGCCATATTTCAGTTTGAACCTAGCCAGCATCCTTGCAAAGGAAATGGGGAAAGGTGACTGGACTATAAATTACTTAGGTAGGAATCTTGTGTTACAGAAAAACGTGTGGCCAAGCTAATAATGTTAGACTAGTAGCATCATCTGTAAATTTGAAGTGCGTAGCATCATCTGTAAATTTGAAGTGCAGAATTGTTGAATGTATGCCACTTAAAATGCTATCCTCACTATTTGAAGACATGACATAATTGGGATGTGGCTTCCAATGTGCAGGACCCTGCCTTCCAGGTGACGTACAAGCTGACATTCTCTATTGTGTACAAACCGAGGTCTGCTCCTCACCTTCAGGTTTGTGGTTGTGAACATCCATTTTGTGTCAGTATGATAAGAATGGTTTCTTCTCACAGCATTGATGCATGTTAACCAAGTAAATGAAAATTTATAAAATTAGGATATAAATTTATTGTTATAATTTAAAAATGCTATCAAAGACCATAAAACAAAAACATCTTTTACTTATAGTCAGACCAGATCACAGTCAGAAACTAAGCATAAATCCAACTCTGAATTCTCAGTCTATAGACTACTACTCTGCAGTGCGTTAAACTTTATGGTACATGTAGAGGATACAATGATGAGAAAGCAGACAAAATCTCTGACCTGGGAAGTTTATACTTTAGAGTCAAGAGCTGATACTAATCAAACTATTATACAAATAATTGTGAAACTAGAGCTGTAATAAATACTACAAAGGAGGCCAGTAAAGCTATGAGACTACAGAGTGGATGTATCTGTAGATGATGTGGTCAGCACAGGTTTCCTGAGAAATTGAGGACTGAGCTGAGATTGAAGAATAAGCAGGAATTGTGAGGACTTTCCAGAGACTGGAGCAACATGAGGACAGAGCTCCAGTAAGAAGGTACCTGGTGGCTCATGCCTGTAATCCTAGCTACTCAGGAGGCAGAGATCAGGAGGACTGTGGTTCGAAGCCAGCCTGGGCAAATAGTTCACGAGACCCTATCTTGAAAAAAAGGGCTGGTCAGGTGGCTTAAAGTGAAAGTCCTAAATTCAAGCCCAGTTCTGCAAAAAAAGAAGAAGAAGAAGGTACCTGGTATGCAAAAAAAGTATTAAAGAAGGCTCATCTAGAGAGCCACATACACTATCATGATGCGAGGCAAAAGAAGGTAGGCAAAAACCCTGAGAAGCTTGGGGAAGGCCTTGACGTGTTTCTCACCTGGAGAGTGACATGATCAATTGTGTGTGTGTCTGTGTGTGTGTGTGTGAAGGAATTTCTCTGATTACAGCTCAGATTAGAGGAAAAGAAGAGAAAAAGAGATTAGTAAAACATCGGAGATTTCTGGTTTTCTGGGGAGTGATACTTAGTAAAGATAGTCCAAATGGTAACAAGTGAGAGGGACTGAGAACCTGGGACCAAACTTGACAAACTCCTGCATTAAATGAGGAACAGAGAATGTATCCCAAAAAAAGCACCTAGTCAGATTGAAGAAACTGTGTTGTGGTCTTAATAGGTGGCAAGAAGGGATGGGCCTACAGAGTGCTGCTGAGAGATCTGGTAATAGCAACAGTTCTACAGTTGTTCTACCATTTACCACAGGGTTATTGTGTGCCAGTTACATAAATTTTATCTCATTTAATCCTGTCATAACTCTGTAAGGGAGAACTTATATTTTTTTTTAACTGATAAGGATACTGAGGCATCATAGAAATTTACAAAACTGCCCAGGGTTTCAGAGATTTAAAGGATTTGATGCTGAACATTCCTTTAAGAACTTTCCTGCCTGAAAAATTATGAAGACTAATATAAACACGGTCAATTAGATTTAGAAAACTGAAGGTTGTTAGCTCACTTTTGGAGAGCAATCTGTGGGTGGTAAGAGGTCAGAAGGAGTTACAGTAGGCCAAGAAATAGTGGGGAGATGAAGTAAGACAGAAAGCATAAACAACTCTTCTAAGAAATTTGACTTGAAGATTAGTTATCCAAAATGATACTTGGGATCTTCCTGTGGTTGTATATATCTTGGACTTCACTGCTGACCAAATCTTTCTGATAGATACTTTGTTTCTTTAGTTAATGTACACATTTCTTCAGTTAATATCTGCTATTGATATTTCCTAACTACTTAAGGCATCTTTTTTTTTTTATAATACTGGAAGACTTACATAAAATGGTCAAGTTCTTAGCTAATAGGATAACTAATTTTTGTTTTAGTGTGTTTTACATTGAGAACTTTTTTTTTTGTGGTACTGGGGCTTGAACACAAGGCCTACATCTAAAGCCACTCCACCAGCCCTTTTTTGTTACGGGTTTTTCAAGATAGGGTCTCATGAACTATTTGCCCAGGCTGACTTTGAACCATGGTCCTCCTGATCTCTGCCTCCTGAGTAGCTAGGATTATAGGCATGAGCTACTGATGCCTGGCTCATTGAGGACTTTTAACAATTACCTTTCAGATTTATTTTTTTTCATAAGTTCATGTATCTCTAGAAAATGACATTTGTGGTTTACTACTTTGTGCGTATTAAATAAGTGTTTGAAGGTAATTGATTATAGCGGATATTGTGGTTATATTCTAAAATACAGTTGAGTTGCTTGTTTTCTTAACTTTTCTGTTTGTAGGCTGATATTGCACCATTGATGGCTTCTCTTATAGGAGTTCCCTTTCCTCTTAATTCAGTGGTAAGGAATGAAACTTTGTTTTCAATACTCAGTATTAAAAATTACACAGTAAAATTTTTTTCATGTTTCTTTACATTTAAAAGTATATATTCCTGTGTATTCATTTCAAAATATGTTATACCTCATAATTGAGTCTGTATTATAACTTTTAACATGGAGGACAACTGCCCAATAGCTTTTCTTTAAAACCTTTTATCTTCTAAAATGTAAGTGAGTTTTAATCTGTGTATTCTGGTTACAAGTGACAAAAATATATGGATACCTTTTTGGTTGTATGCAGCAGACACTGAGTTCTTTTAAAAGGAAATTCTTGAAAAAATATTGGTAGCTTGCTAGATCACAAGGCTGCTTGAGATTCAGGCTTAGAAATGACCAGGAACAGAGAGAGCTCTGGAGACTTTGAAGCAGGAACCACAGCCAGGGTCTCATGCAGAGCTGTTCCACTCAGGCCCCAACTCTGGGGTAGAACAGCATTATGCCTGTGTCAGTTTCTGCATCTGACCCTCAGGAATCAAAAACAAGCCACATATTATGGCATCATTTGTGAGGCCAGCTGTCAGGAGGCTGAGGTTGGAGGATTATTGTCTAAGACCAGACTAGGAAGTACATGGGGACAAGTTACAGTCTTTTGATCAAAGCCCATTTATGTATGTATGGACATACCACAATGAAACCCCTTTGTACAGTTAATATATGCTAACAAAACAGAACTGGTGAGTTCTGAGTAATATTACTGTGACAGTCTTAAGTATGTATATGTGTATAAATAAAACAAAAGTTTTACAAAATAGCTTTTACTCCCACAATGTATAATACTCTCTCTTATGTCTTGCTATTTATTTATTTTTTGAAGTTTGCTAGCTGTGGTCCACCAGAGTTAACTGTTTTTTTGTGTGTAAAATACTTAGTTCACTGTCTACCATATAGTAATGATTGTGTTCATCAGCTTTCCTTTACTATAACAAATCCCTGAGGTAGGCAATCACCTTAAAAAGAAAAAGGGTTTTTGGCTCCTGGTATTAGAGGTTTCCATTTGTGGTGGGACATTATGACAGGAGAGTGCGGTACAGCAATATCTGCTCACCTCATAACAAGAAATGAGAGAAAAAAGGAAGACACATTCCCTTCTAGGTGTCTGTGCCTGATGATCCAAAGACCCCACCTCTGAAACTTTTCATCACTTCCCCATAGCACCAAACTAGGGACCAAGTCTTTAACTCCTGGAGACATTTAAGATCCAAACCATAGCACCATTCTCTCAGTGTTAGAGTTTATTGAATTTAATTAATCTCATTGGCTTTATTTAATTTTATTACATCTACTTTGTGAAAAAAATAATAGAGCACCTTTTAGTTACAGTTTTTAAATTTTTTTCATTTAGTCTAATAATTGATTTAGTCTAAATATCTTTATTGCTCCCTTTTAAATCTCTTTTTTTTTTCAATCAGAATAGCATGAGCTCGTTTTGCTAAGATTTTCTGTTAAGAAATCCATTTTTATTCACTGACTTGTGAATAAAAATGCTTATTCACATAGCAGTTATGTGCCAGGATTATGATTCTATCACATGGATTCTGTTTATTCTTATGCCAGTTAGGCATTATTTTTTAATAATTTTGATTTTATACACCATGTGTGCTGTACACCCCACCACCAAACCTATTTTTTTTTTCAAAATTTAGGTTTATACAACTGGCAGATTTATTTTTCTATATACATTTTGGAATTACTTTTCCGAGATTCTTTAAAAAAAGCAAACTCCTTAATTTTTGCCTGAAATTACGTTGAATGTAAAGATCGATTTGGGAAGAACTGATACAGCAATAACATTAGGTCATTTCATCCATGGACACTTCTGTCCTCTATTTATCCACATCTTCTTTTGGGTCTTTTAATAGTGCTTTATACTTTTCTCCATTTTTGAAATGTTCTCCTATGATTTTTAAATAGGTTAGTTGCTTGGTATTTTATAGTTGGTGCTGTTTTTGTGAAGAAGGTAGTGTTATCTTTTAAATTTCTAACTTAATGTTAGTTTGATAAGGAGCTAATAATTTTTACAAATTGACCTTGTTTGGTAATCTGACTTAATTTCTTGCAATATGTTAATTCCAAAAAAAAAGAATAGCTTGAGCTTTAATAAGACTAACCTAGTGTTTTTATTTTCAGGGAAGGCTTCCTGTGGATTATCTTAATGGCACTGACCACTTCAAAGCAGAGAGTGTGTTTACCAATGCAGTACAGATTCTGGAACAGTTCAAGGTAATTAAAAAAAGACACAGACACACAATACTGTAATTTTAAAGCTGAGTATATTAAGTGAAAATATTTGAGTTTGTGTTTTAATAACTTATTTTGGGCAGTTTATTATCTCTAGATTTTGTACATTTGTCTAGGATTATAAAACTTCACAATGCTGCAGGGTAGGTTCCATGAGTTGGTTAGAAGGGGTAGAATTGTCTCTAATTATAAGATTATGATGTATGCTTATAAAGACTACAAGTCAAGTCTTTATTGATTGGAATTTGGCCCATAGAAGTGCTGTTAGTTCTTGTCATTCCATAGACATTGTTAGATACATTAAAAACTTCAAGAAGTGACTCTGACTAAGTCTTTGCCCAATTTTGTTTTCAAAGAGTTAAAGGAAGTACAGTTTTAATTGCATTGTAATAGCTATTTTGTGTTTCATAATGAAATTTATCAATTTTTCCTCATAATGTAATGAAACATTTTCATGCTTGATTCCCAGGTGAAAATGGCTCAGAAAAAAGAAGTTACTTTGCCATTTTTGTTTACGCCATTTAAGTAAGTCTTTCACCTTTTTTTTTTTTTTGTAACTTGAGGGAAAGAAGTTTTGATGCTGATAAAATAGATTACGTGGAGACTTTTCTTCGTACATTGTGCAAGCTCTACGAAATCCTCTTGTATTACTTTTATTGAACAGTGGGCCAGATACCAGATACCTTTGAATGGGCAGAAGAGGGATGGAGGGGCAAAGAAGAAATATGAAAAATGTTAAGGAAATGACTTCAACAGGGCTTGCCTGACTGGTGACAAAGGTGTGGGAGCAGTAAAGAAGCCTTGGTTCTTGGCTTGCTTGATTGAGAAGATGCTGGTGCCACCATAGTTTGCATTAAAAAAGAGCTGGTTTGTGAGGCAAGGGTGAATGTTAATATATCAAGTTACATTTGACTTTATTAGTTAATTAGTTAGAAATTGGGGCTTGCATCTCAGGAGATGCAAGAAGATTTGGAGTCACCAAATCATGAAGTTTGAAGATGGTAGTGGAAACTGTTAAACAGGGAGGAGACTCTGGGCAGCATATAGAAAGTTACAAGGCTAAGGATGGAATTCTGAAAAATAATGACTTCTCCCAAATGGGAAAAGAAAAGAGCCCACGTTGATGGGCACCAGATTTTCCAAGGAAGATGTGATTTCCTTGAGTCAGGAAAGGGCAGATCTGAGTCGTAAGCCTTATTCTTTATGACTAGCTATATATGGGGGGTAGTAGGTTTCCTTATCCTCCTTGAGGTTTACATTCAATTAGCGAGGATTTTATTTTTGTCCAAACTAAATTCAGATTTTTTTTATGAGTCTTAGGGATATGAATGAATGACTTCATTGGAATTATTTTTGACAAGCTCTGCAACATTAATGTGATTTTCATAAACTAGAAAAGCTTAAATATTGTATTGCTTTCCAAAAAATGTGGTCATAGGCCTGAGTTTATGTACTTGTGTATGTGTATGTATGTATGGATGGATCTATGGGAAAGTAAAAATAAAGCAAAATTAGCATTTATGCAAATTATGATTGTATAAAATAAACTACCCTAAATATATCATTAGGATAGTATATCATATATATCTGTTATGCTTATTTGAATTTCCTCTTTTATCATATAATAAAATTAAGATTTGTCAATGGACTGGCTCCTGAGGAATATGTAGGTGTTTCTCCATTTTAAAAGAAATATTTACATGCCATAATCCCAGCTAGTTGGGAGACAGAGATCAAGAAGATTGTAGTTTGAGGCCAGCCCATGCAAAATGTTAGCAAGACCTCATCTCAACGAAACAGGCTGGGCCTATAGTGGCATGCCTGTAATCTCAGCTATGCAGGAGGCATAAGTAAGAGGATCACAATTGGAGGCCTATCCCTGGCCCAAAGCATAGGACCCTATCTAAAAATACACTGAAGCAAACAAGGGCTTGGTGCATTGCTCAAAAGGTTGATGGAGCATCTGCTTAGCAAGCATGAGACCCCGAGTTCAGACCCCAGTACCAACAAAAAAGAAGAAATATTTATTGATTGACTATGTGTACTGTAAATACAACAGTGAACAGGATAGACAAAAGCTTTACCTTTATAGAACTTGCTTACTCTGGAGCAGTAGAGGCATACCATAACAAAATAAATAAATGAATAAGAAACACATTATCAATTTTTGGTAAGCACAAAATTCACAGGACCTTGAGACTAAAAATAACTGAGGGTTAGTTTGGACCAGCCACTTTAGAAAGGCTGGTCAGGGAAAGACTGCCTGACTTCTTCCACTTGGCCTGGTGGCTCACCCAATAAACTTCCCCTACTATGTTGCTCAACCTCTGCGTGAATGTTGTTACACATATTTAGTGCTACTACTAACTTTGTATCACCAGGGGGCCTAACCTGCCCACTAGGCCACCTGCCTTGGAGCAAAGTGATCAGCCCTGTCTATAGACTTATCTGGCTAAAAAGCACCACTTGCTGAAAGCCCAAATTATTGCCAGAGAAGCCTAAGGTAAATGAAAAGTTGACTCTTCAAGATATACAGTTCAAAGAACAGAACCTAAAGGTATTGAAACCCTCCAGACTATTTAGGAAACTATTGTATCAATAAAATAAACCAGCATCTACTTTACAAAGTGAGAAAGGGTACAAGATGCTTTAAAAAGAAAATAAGGAAGCTGGGCATGGTATCTTGTAATGCCAGCACTCGAGAGGCTGAGGCTGGAGGATCGTGAGTTTATGTATAGTGAGACTTTACCTCAAAAAGCCAAAAGGAAAAGGAAAAGAAATGCAACTAAAAACTTAAAAGATAAATTGTACAAGAGTTGTTCGGATGAGAGGCAAATCCTCTAAATGGCAACAGGAATTAAGTACCTGAAGCTAAATGAAATGAATTTGAAGTTTTAGCTGAATTGAGTAGGAAGCTGAAGAGATTAACAACAGGATGGTGTGTGCATGCATACACTTCTTCATCCACTCCCCCACTTGACAGGAAGCCTGCTTGATAAAAGCAGCACCTCACTATGGCGTGGTGGTTTTGAGCAGTTGCTAGAGGCGTGAGGAAGGGAATCCAACATTGTCACATGGATCAAGGCTTTAAAAGGAAGAGAGTAGAAAGTCTAGTCAAAGCAGAAGACTTGCTCTTCAGTGATCAGTATTTATTTATTTTTGATGTAATAAAGTTTTATTTTTCCAAATGCATAGTTGGTTGGACAAGTTCATGCATCTTCTCCAGCAGCTGGAGCATCTCCACCCTTAGTATTTCTTGTATAAATTACTTGAGCTCTGTGCTTTGAAACCAATTTACTAAGGAGCTCCTGAAGGGCTGCCCTGGTCAGAGAACCCCAAATCTTTAGTCTCTCAGAGATCTCAACTGGGGTTACAAGCTTATAGTTGGAAACTTCTTTACAGAGTTTGTCATAAATGGCCTTGTTAAACAGGGCTGGGTTGTTGAGCTCGTCCTAAACTTTGCCTTTGGACTACTTCTTTTTTGTCTTGCCCCCAGATTTGTTTACTGGGTCTTTGTCCTTCTTGGCTGACTTTCTGGCATCTTTCTTCTTCTTGGCATCCTTGGGTGGCATTGTGAAGCTGGGAGAGCAGTGGTGACCACTGCAGCCTTGCTAAGATGTCAGACAGAAAGGAAGTTCTTTTCACCGACAGGCCCAGAAACCCCCGCCCCTGAGTAGTATTTAAATAGTAGTCAAGCTAATGTAAATATTAGTTTTCAGCTTTTAAAGTCAATCCTTAGGCAAAGCGGGGAAAAATTAATTATGATTATAGAATAGAATGCAGACGTCACCAAGCTTGACAATGCACAGGTGCACTTAACAGTTTGGAAGTCAGCAGGGTAAGAAAATTTAGATAGAATAGCAGTGGTACTACTGCTCTCATAAATTAGAATATGGAAAATTCTGTCTATAGTTGAGAAAATAAAATGGAGGTTTAGATACTAAGTTATTAAAGTAACCATGATGCAAACAAGGAAGTAAAAATAGTGAGATGCACAATTTAAGTAGGGAGCAGGGTCAGAGACAGCAGCAAGTCAACAAAAAGTGCCTCAAAAAAAAAAGGTAGAAGGGAAGAAGATTGAGAAAATGAAAGTAAGTAGCTACCAGAATAACTCAAAACAGACACATGTGAAAAATTTTTGTCTCTGGGTTGGTGAACTGAGAAATGACAAGGATAGGGCATAAATTTGTGGAGTGTCACTATGTTGATATGTTTGGTTTTTAAACACTATATGCATGTATTGCTTTGGCAAACATTTTTTAAAGTAACAAGAGCTAGGGTGGAGTGTCTATAATTCCAGCCTGTCAGGAGGCTGAGTTGGGAGGATTGAGGCCAGCCTGGAAAACATACTGAGACCCTGTTGCAAAAAAACAAACAATGACAATGACAAATATACGTGTGTATGTGTACATATATATATAATTGCAAAAATAATAAAAACATAACAAATGAAATAGGTATTTTAGTCAATCAAATAGAATATGTAGTGTACATAGTCTATTAGTAGCAGAAGTAAAGTACCAAAAATAAATTAATGAAAAATGTGTATTATGGAAAAAAATGATAAAATTTTACTTTGATTCTAATAGAAAATATAAATAAATAAGTGTTGAATAGCAGCATTCAATGTTGTAAAAACTGTCAGTTCTTTCTAAGCTGATTACTAAATAGAATGTAATAACAAAAGAATTTTTCATAGAACTCAAGATGATTCTCAGATTTATTTAGAAAACTACTCTCAAGAATAGATTAGTATTGAGAAAGAAGAAGAGAAGAACAAGATAAAGAGATTTGCTCTACTAGATAGCAAGACGCATTCTAAAGCTTCTATAACAAAGGTGATATTGATGCAGGCTAAACATAGATTACTGGAACTGATTTGATAGTATAAAAGAGATTAATGTCTGTACAGGATTTGGTTTTGATTAAATCTGGCATTTTAAATTGGTGGACAAAAGAATTGCACTGGGAAAATTAACTATTCCCTTGGAAAAATATGGCTGGATTCCCTACCTTCTTCATTCACAAAACTAAATTCTACATAGACTAAAAAACATTTTAAAATAAGTAAAACTATGAAACCTATAAATAAGACATAAAATATAAATATAATTTGCTTATCTCAAAATTAAGTGCTTCTAGGCTGGATGTGGTAGTGCACTCCTGTAATTTCAGCACTTGGGAAAGCTGAGGCAGGAAGGTCCTGAGTGTGAGGCCAACCTGAGCTGCATGATGCAACCCATCTTTAAAAAAAAAACCAAAACAAAACAGTAACAAGGCTGTTTGTCAGTGCTGCGCTGGGCTGAGGTGCTGTGGTACCATGAAGTGCTGGTATTTAAAGGATTGTGGCATCTGAAATCCACAATGTTAAAAAACAGAACTTTTGTGATAACATTGAGGATCATTCCCTTGATCTTCCTAGAAAAAGGATCTCTAATTTCACTAATAAGAACACGAAGGAGGTTAAGAAATCTCCAAAACTGTTGGTTTCTTATGTAAATAAAACAGTTGGACAAGCTGTGAAA